TGTGGGTCTACAATCTTGTCCCTGACATCCTTGGAGAGCTCTTTGGTCTTGGCCATGGTCATGGTAGAGAGTTTGGAATTTGATTGGTTGATTGCTTCTGTGGACAGGTGTCTTTTATACAGGTAACGAGCTGAGATTAGGAGCACACTCTTAAAGGGAGCCAGAAATCTTTCTGATTGAGAGGGTGTCAAATACTTATTTCCCTCATTAAAATGCAAATCAATTTATAACATTTTTGACATGCGTTTTTCTGCATTTTTTTGTTGTTATTCTGTCTCTCACTGTTCAAATAAACCTACCATTACAATTATAGACTGATCATTTCTTTGTCAGTGGGCAAACGTACAAAATCAGCAGGGGGACAAATACTTTTATCCCTCGCTGTATGGTGATTGTACGTTTGTGGCAATCATTACAGATTTACACGTGAGGTTGTCCCTGGGAAAACCAGTTAAACTGTGGATGCAGTAAAATTTCGTTTTAAAGCTTTCGTGACTGCAGGGATTCATATTCTTGATTCTTTCAGTAAAGTCACGTAAAATGGAAATAATAAAATAATAAAAATACACATTTTATTAAAATAATGTTTTATTTTTATTATTTTATAAAATGTTTTATGAAATTTTTTTATTTTTTATTTTATTATTTCCCTTCTACGTGACTTTTCCGAAAAAACCAAGACTAAGAATACGTGGATCCAGTCTTTAACCTGGCAAAGGCCCATTTTAATGTACCTTTATTTTTCATCTGAGAACCTATGTTTTCAGGAAGAGGGATATATGTATATAGTATATACAATGTAGTCACGAGTGATTTTCAAATTTAAGACTTTGGTTATGACACCATTGCACAATGGCCTACTCTTGCGAATGAAATCATTGTAAATATCGGAGGTACGGTTTAAGTGAAAACGTTATCGCATTAAAATAAATATATATAAAGTTTCAGCTTGCGTTTTAACTTTTCTTACCTAATTACATTAGCCGTTTGGCATACACCATTCACTTAGATGATAGATAGAGGCACATGAAAGGCGAGTTAAAAAAAAAATTGTTAATGTATTTCAAGTTGCATTCTCCTTTCTTTAATGTCATATCAGCAGCTCTTGCGATGCAGCCAAAAGAATATAAGTCGGGCATCCGTTTAATCTGTTAATGTTAGGAGGCGTGAGTGTATACGCACCATGTCAGCCTGAATGGACGCTTATTCCTCTAAGCATATGGTCGTGAAGGAATTCAAAGAAAACCCAAATATGTAATTGTGAAGAGGGAATTGAAATAAAATGAAATGGAAAATTGTCAAATTATTTGTTCAAAATGTTTTTTTTTGTCAGAAGATCCTGAATCCATACTTAATTATGTGATCACGATATATTTAAAATTCAATATTTCATACAATAAACGACTATGCATATCGTTCTCGTATAAATATATGTATGGTGTAAATTTATTAATTTACACATGCACTACCGTATTATTTTTTTTAGAAAATTTCGTTTTGCAACTCATTTGCACTCCAATTCGACAAATTTATAATGAATTTCACTGTAACCGTGGCATTCACCACTGCACCCAGCGAGATGCAGAGACAAGAGCACGTGATTCAGAGATATAATGCAAGCTCGAGACCTCACGTTGCCTGTTACGAAATATAAAGTTGGTTCTGGCAGGACACATTGTTAGAAGGGATGAAGGCTGATATATGAAACTGGTGAATGACAGTCAAAGGAAGAGCAGAAATATAAAAGTTTATTCATAATAAAGATTTTTGGGTTAGATCGCGTTATTTATAAATGTGTCGTAAGCCTCCACCACCCGACAAGGCCAATCAGCAAAAAAAGTGTGACGTTGACAAAATACAAATAGTTCACTACTTTAGTCCACCGGTGTGTTGAAGAGTGAATCCACAACATTTTACAGTTTTAATACGACGTTTCGCTGGTAATTACATCCAGCGTCATCGGGCAATTATGAATAATATTGGTCGCGAAAGCCTACGTGTTAAACATAAAAGTATATGTCCACCACATAGATGGAGCGATGGGATGATCAGTTCATTCTGGAATGAAATGGATTGTAGCATCATTTGACCATGAGTAATGACATCGGCTTTGGGAAGCCTTCTTGCAGAAGTGGATAGATAACGAATGGTCATGTTAATGATGATGACATTGTACCAGATAACTACAGTATTGAATTGCAATGCTTAGATTAAAATATGTATATCCCTGTAAATATACATAACGTATGTTGAACTTTTTGTCGCAGTGTATGTAGCCAAGTGTGCTAAATTATTACAATTCTTTTCAAAGCGACGTGAAACTATTTTAGAATCAAAATGGCCATGCTGTTTAAAATTGACCGTTTAATAATAACTCCAAGGCAAACTGCCAAGAGGTTACCCCCCCACGCCCGCCCGCCATCAAATGACGCTGATTAATTGACTCCGAGTTAGCTCATTTATTATTTATGCGTACTCCAATTTATCACATACATCCGTAAACCTGTTTGGCGAGAAACCAGTTTTGTGGGACAACTTTTTGGGCCATAGGTCGCGTATGTTATGGAGATTCTGTTACCGTTCTTGCAGATGTTTGCTAGTTTCGTCCTCTGCAAAATGCCAATTCAATAGCTCTTAACATTTTGGAGGCGCTGTATTCTGGGTGTTTTTTTTTGGGGGGGGGGAGATCCTACTGAACTACTTAAGTAGTGGGCATTTGTTCAGCTTCTGATAGTCCTCCAATGGTACATTCCCCCGTTAAATTAACGATCGTTGAGATGGCATGCGTAGGGTTGCCACCTGTACTGGTTTTCCCAGGTTCGTCCTCTTGTTGAGGCAGTTATATCGGGAAATCTGTAAGTCTTCCCAGGAAATTAAAGGTCCGTGTTTTTGTCAGTTGTGAAATAATAATACGAAGATACCACTCAATTCAATGCATTGTTTACACTATGGTAACCACAGCAATGAGTCAGCTTGGGAATTCCATATTCCTATGTTGTCATTTATGGATTGTCTCGTTTCGATTCTTGATTTATTTTTTCATAATTGTTGAATGTAGCGGCCTCTGGTGGCTGGGTGGGGCATGTTATTCCATTAAGACGTTCAAGATCTGAACGTCGACAAACATAGATTCCTATTCGTAATTCGATGCATGTGTCATTTAGAAAACAAAAACAGCGATATTAAGTGATGCAGAATTACACCTATACATTTTGCAAATATTGTATTTTAAATCATTGGCCAATGGTAAAAAAAAATAATGAAGGTGTGGCAGCCAAGGGATAGAACACACCTGACAGACCATCCCTCAAAGAGATGGAGCGATGAAATCAGCTCGCAGATTCGTCAGAGATGCCGACGGTTTGGATAGGTATTCCTGCAGCAGAAGATAGATCATGACGATTCTGATTAAAACATAGAGAGATGCATGTTTGGAAGTTGAGATGCATGCTTGAAAAGAGGCCGAATGAGAAACACATGGATCCGGCAACAGAAATTAGAAACACTTTTGATCATAATCCAGCAGTGGATTTATCACAACTGCCACTGACGATGATGATGTTAAGAGTTTGAAAGACGCAACAACATTCCGTGTGCGTGTGTGTCAATGAGTGTACACGCGATACGGGCAACTGTCCGCATCGAGTTAATATTTTAGCACTCGTGGAGTTTGATATCAAATATCAGAAATGTAGTGTTTCGGACTGCTTGCTGTGTAGATGTGGGTGCAAAGGGCTGTGGTCAAATCCTCTGTGGCCCTTCTACATGGACACAGCTATGGAGCCACCGGTGGAACTCCAGAGCATCGATGCAAATCGCTTGGGAATTGGGTGAGACATTTTTTCTTGAACTGTTAAAACGAAAGACGCAGCAGACACGTAAACACCTAGGTTAAAGAGCTTTGCCTTTTGGCAAATGCATCGTCCCTACACTGACGGATGCATTGATTAAACCCACCGACAGCAGAGGGTGCACCGCGTTGACTATAAATGTTCGTGAACGTTGCGAGTTTGTACGTTATTAGACGAGGCGTTTTGAAAGCGTCACACTGGAGCCGCGGCACGAGACTGTTCAACACGCCTGTCAACTTGGTTTCATTTCAGCGTGAAGGCGCGAGGCAGGTTTCAGCCGTGAGTAATGGCTCTGCTGTGACGTGCCCTGTTCGTACGTTGTAGAATCATGGACCGTCGATGTTTCTGCGCTCTTCCAACAGCCACTCTGCTCGCTCTCGTAAGACGTATGCATTAAACTAAAGAACAAATGTGTTCAACGAATGTGAATTCGATGGTGTCGGTGCAGTGAGTTACACATTATTGAATGTTGCTTATATAAAAAAAGGCTTCTGTACTTGAAAGTATTCAACTATCACATTATTTTTTATTGTACTAGGTAAGGCCCACGGAGTCCGTATGGCTCCTTTTCAGAAGCAACCTAGCCACAAATGATCGTTCAATGAAGTGGCTTGTCACGTGTAAATTTATAGCAACCAAATACTCTAGGCGCATGTTCATTATAAATGTGGAAGGAAAACCCGGAGGATGCGGAGAACAATCCATACGACAGCGCGGAGAGAGACATTCAAATTCCAAATTTCAACAAATTACGTTTGCGGTTATCTCCATTGGCAATGCAAGAAACGTGTACACTACTCGGTGAACCTGCAGAAAGAATCCTGGCCATGCATTTATCGAAATACTTAATGTGTGGCCAATAAATATGACGAAACGGCACCTGCATATGCGCATATGTTCTCTGGAGTGTGGGAAGCGCTGACGTGGCGGTTTATGCCACGAATGGCCACCACCAGTGACGATTATATCTCAACCGGTTCTGGGCCTCCCCTGCGTCGACTCCAGCCTCAAATGAACACCTGGTGTGGTGTGTAAAAATCGCCACTGGGGAGACAAAGGCGGCCTGGCGTGGTGTTGGCCACACATCCCCTCGTGCCGGCCTTCATAGGTGCTCGCTCTCAGCACTTGCCCCAACAGTCTGTTAAGGCTATATGGAGGAACGTTGTCCATCACACACACCACACCTTCACAACCAGCATTTTCCTACCACCGCAACACTCCTGGAAGGATCACCCCTCCTCTGTGTCTCTTCCACTCATAACGCTCACCCCCTGCGTGAGGCACTAACTCACTAGTTGATGCTTTTCCATTACACTTCACCATTATGCTTCTTGTACGCATGCATGTTTCTCTCCGTTGCGTGCCGCACAACGAACACGCAGAATCCTCATCCGCGACGACCTCGGCGATGCTGGCGGGCAGGAGGAGGAGGCTCCGGCCAGGATGGGCCGCCAGCCGAAGAACGTGAAGTTGTCGGCGGCGGAGGCGAGAGTCGTGCTCCTGGCGCTGTCGATGGTTGGCCTGGGAATCGCCGTGTTCTTCATCCTCTCGATAACCGTCGTGCAGCCCTTGCTCAACGGGTGCGGTGTGCGCCCAAAGGCCCCCACCACCACCACCACCGTGTGTGTGTGTGCTGTGGCATGTGGTGTTTTTTGTCAACGTTCGACACAAACGTCGTTCACGTCACCCACCCAGCCAGGCACCACCATCACCATCATCATCCTGAGCAATGGTCAATCCACTGCCGGATGAATGTCTTACCAAGCCGCTTAAAAGTGCACCGAGCTTGGTACAAGCGGCACATTGATATCACGGACAATTAGCAGTGCGTGCCAGATGTTGTTGTCCGTGTCTGCACTTCCTTCATCAGAAAAAAAAATCTCTGTTCTTAAAAGGGTCATTTGCCCACAACGTTAGCCTGCTGCGAACACATCTTTGCTCACAAATCAGTGTCAACAAAGACAACGGTTCATAATACAGTAAAAAATGTTGGGTTAGATTGCGCAGACGAGGCGCCTTCCTTTTTCTCTTCCGCAGCCGAGGCAGCAAGGAGGCGAACTGCACGGTGATCTCGGCCGAGATCCCCAAGTGGATTGACTGCGCCTTCGAGTGCGGCCCCTACTGCAAGGGCGTCTCCAGCTACCCGTGCCTGCAGGTCTACGTCAACGTGACGCCGTGGGGACGCAAGGTCCTGCTGCATCGCGACGAGCAGTCAATATCCTCCAGTTCGCAGGTCAGCGCCAGCCTCGCTCGAGAGACGGGACGGGTAGCGGGGGGGGGGAATGCTTGATCGGTGTTTTGGTCGAGAACGAGACTCAAAGGGGTCAAGGATTCTTGGCGGGGTCGTTGACGCCCAACGGCAAAGGGCCATCGGTAGAATGTCTGCCGTTGAGCGTGACACCCCAAAGTGGTGGGGTTAAGACCAAGGTTAAGCTTTGTCGATGGTTGAATGGTCTTCTCTTTGGGGCAAGAGGGGACAAAATGCGTTGCGTTGCAAGGATTGATGGCCTAAATCCTCACTTCACTCGGAATCAAAGACCCATTGGTAGAATGCTTGTGCTTAAGTCAGGATCTTCAAAGTGCCAGGCCAAAGTGTTAAAGTTTAGACCGAGGTTGATCTCACTGGTGGCACAATTATCTACTCTTCGGCAATACGGACACAGGCGTTGCACTGCAAGAATTCAACGGTTTGAATCGTAACTCCGCACTGTCTCCACACATTCCTAGAAGTATCACAATCGTCTTTATTGACACCAAAAATATGTTCGCAGAAAGCTAACATTGTGGGCAATTGCCCTTTATAGTACAGAGAGAGAGAAAACATAGTTCTGACTAAGCTATGCACACACAGACAACAACATCTGTCATGCACTGCTAAGTGGCAGTGATATCACCATACCACTTGTGCCACGCTAGGCGCACTAAGAAAACCTCAATGTGTCTCAAGACTTTTGATTTAAAGCTTTCGTGACTGCAGTAATTCATATTCTATATATTTTATTATTTTATTGTTTCCCTTTAACGTGACTTTACCGAAAGAGCTAAGAATATGTCTCAAGACGCTTTTTTCAGGGGGGTCCTGCATCGGAATGTTTGGAACATTTTATTTATGCATCTTTAGCATGCGGGAGGAAACCGCATTACCCAAAAAACCTCATTCAATGGAGAATATAACAATAAAATCCCCATGCAGAGATATTGGAGAATCCACACAGATAGGCGCAAGAATTATACCAATTCTTCGGATGTATGAGGTGGTGCGTGGATGGGGTGGGGAGTGGTGGAATCTTTCTAGCCTACTCTGTATCCAGCCTGTCTGGCAGGATTGCACAGGGGTAACACGTGCGCCTCGCAGCAACAAGGAGTTGTGTTTGAATCACAACTCGGGCGCTTTTCTGTGTTAATTTTTTGTGTGTTATCTTCCTATTCTGCATGCGTTTTCTCCTGGGTCTACAGTTTCCTCCGATAGTAAAAAAAAAACATACAATGTAACTAGCATTTGCCAAAGCATCCAAATGCTCACAAATTACAATACCTGCAAAATTACTCAATTGAGATTACACAACGCAACATCGCCCCCTAACTGCAAAGCCTTCTTAGGCCCCTCCTGAAGTGGCGTTTTGAGATCGAGAGAGGTTTGCCTGGGCAAAGAAGCACAGTGACGACAACGGAGCGCCGATGATCGTTTCCCCCACAGTGCTACCAGTTGCCCAAGTGCTACCGGGACCACGCGGATGCCACCGCGGTGATTGAGCCACTGAAGTCGTCCTTCAGGGCCCTCAACCGCACGCCCTTCCGATGCTTCTACAACGCCCGCGTGCACCACGACGACGCCCTCTTCAGCCGATCGGCCAGCGACTCCCAATCTCTGCTGCAGTGTCTTCTGTGGCCCCTCTTGGCCGTGGCCATCGGTGCCGCCCTCCTGCTCCTCCTGGCCTTGAGTCACACGCTGGCGGGCCTGTGCGAGAACAAACAGACGATTCAGCACCGCCGCAAGGCGCACTCCGACACCGCTCGTCTGGTCGCCCGGCGTCCCTGGAGGAGCGACGTGGCCGGCGGCGGCGGCGGCGGCGGCGGTGGTGGCAGCGCCAGGCCCAAAAGCCGGGCCTCTTTGCGCTCGGCTGGCATTGCCATTGTGTCTTTCCGCGCTGTGGGAAACAGCCTCAAGGGGGAAAAGCACGTGCATTTGCCATGATGCGCTGGTCGTGGTTGGCGGCCGTCGCGGCGGCGGTGGCTGTGTTTTCCAGAGATTCGGTTCAAAATCATGTTTGGAGGAAATTTCCATTTTCAGGCGTGATTTTCACTTGTGGGTCACAGGTGAATGTCTTTTTTTCCTTCGGTCGTCTCTATGTATTTTATTCTTTGTATTTCCCAATGTTATTCCACTTGTGCTATCGGTGTCATAATGTCATAGAAAGATGACTTTGAACTGCCACCACGTTGCATCGCATTATCTCAGAGAGCACTCAAGGTGTCGTTATCTCAACGAGCACTCAGTGAGTTGTCAATAGTGATTATACTGCATTTAGAAAATAATGACAGCCCTTCTTTGTGATCATCGCCGCACCACCACCTCTTGGCCACCTCGCAGCCAACTCCAACAACACCTGGCACTCACCGGCAGTCTCCCATCAGAGCACTATCCAGGCTTTACCCGGCTTAACTTTTTAGAGACTGCTTTGGTCTTAGGCAACTAAATCACTAACAAATAAGCAAGTGTAGAAACAAAGTAAAAGGTACATGCGTACTCATGCCAGTGCTGGCAGAAAAGCCTCCACCAGAGGCAGCTCTAGAGAATGTCTTGAAAGGGCATTTTAACCTCCTCTTCCACAGTGGCCACAGGATTGGGGATCGGTGAGAGGACCACAACTTTATGCCACCATCAACTGTGGTGTCCCCCTATATACTGCTCGTGTGGTTAGCGGTCGCGGTGGTGGATTTAAGAAACTTTGCAAATTGTTAAAACTGCCGCACCGTGAGATCGCATTGAACCGTGGTCCTCTGGATTGCAATTGCGGTGATAACCATTACAACACAGGCAGCATAATTCGTGTCTCGTGTGTGTAATAAGCGAGTGTTTTAAGGAGCGAAAACTAAAATGAGATAAGTGTGATAATAGCTCTTAGGCGCGATCAACAGAAAACCACTGGTGTAAAATAAACCACAATAGTGTAATGTCTTTGCTGAATATTGTGAAGATCGCATGGCAAGTTGTCCTTCCATTCGCACACGAATGCGCCCTGCGAAGGATTCTAGTCTCCGAGTCAAGAGGGAAATAAATGCTCTGACGTGCCTCGGCACACACGGGATGCATTACTGCCTCAATCCCCGATCACAGTCGCAACGTGTGCAAAAAGCAGCCAGCCTTGTGCATTGTGCAAACGAAAAACCCATCAACGGTTCCCGAAGAAATGCATCGTGGCTCTCTTAACGCACAAGGCGGAGTGCGTTTTGTACACGTTTCTCTGTGTTGTGTGAAACTTGTGTTTTTTTCAGCCTGCACTGACTTCTCTGTTAAGATGGGTTATCTCGCCATGTACAGATTTGATTACATTCACAATCATTGGTTGGGAGGTCTGCTAGCGACAGACACTATGTCTGCTTCCCATATATATGTAGTGCCGTGAATTCACTCGGACGACAACCGTCTAACTTCCACCGTCACTTTTATTCCATCGTTCCGTACACACGGTAATTCTCCTCTTCCCCAACTCGGACACTCCGATTCACCTCAGCATCGTCCGTGCATGCTCTTCCACACACAGTGGTTCTTCCTCTATCTCCTCACACACAGTGTCGCCGCTATCTCTTCACACGCAGTGACTTCCTCTATCTCCGCACACACAGTGACCTGTCTGTCTATTCACACACAGTGACTCTATCTATCTATTCACACACAGTGACTCTATCTCCGCACACACAGTGACTCTATCTATCTCCGCACACACAGTGACTATCTATCTCCGCTAACGCTAACTCTCCCTATCGCTATTTACTGTCTTTTGGGTTCGGCTCTCTATCTATTCTTCCCTAACATTGCCAGCTGTCCTCTTCGTATCTCTCCACCTCTCGCCAACAACTGCCCAGCAACAACTCCCCCTCCGTTCAAATCACCTAGCGTGTTATCCCCTTTCCAATTAGCCTTAATTAATTGCCACGTGGCTCGCTGGCATTTTCCCGTCAGCTCGCACCTGTCCCCTCGATCAGACTTCGAGACGCCGCCACTTAACGCCTCTCGACCAATCACAGCCCTCGTGCCACGACTCCCTTAATTACTTCGGGTTGAATTTTGATTTAAAGCTTTCGTGACTGCAGTAATTCATATTCTTAGTTTTTTCGGTAAAGTCACGTTGAAGAGAAACAACAAAATAACAAAATATATATAAAACAATAATACTTCGGGTTGTTTACGCCACCCGTGACTCGACCACCTGTTCGACCTCATGTGACCCACTCTCCTTGTATGTCTGTATGTACTGTATGTGGCCAATTCCTATGCGTATCGTTTACTCCACTACATATATATCTCTGTCCCTGCATATAAATACATAAAAGCATGGTTTTAGACATCACATCGGCCACACAGTCTTCTGGGAATGATGTTTTCAGCATTGGTTTAATTCAAGCAAGTTACAGTATTCTTACGTAACACAAACATTTCGCACGGAAAGGAGGCGTATTTTCTCCTTATTGGTGATTGCATTCCCATATTCGCCACGACAACGCAAATAATCATTTTGTGCAAGCAAAATTAATAATTCCGGATGACTGTGGCCACCAATGCAGCCAGGTAGTGCAGTCTTACCACGGTGTACACGGCGGCTCACCGCCATGCTCCTTTCGGCTCCCAAGTTAAGAGTTAATATTGTTATACATTTAACCAGGTGAGAACTCAAGAGACCGCGATAGTCTATAATTTGCAAGACGGACCTGGATCGACAACTAGTGATGGTCAATGGGACAAACGGTATCACGATGATGATGATGATGAAAACAAGTGGACAATATTTCCAAATAATGAGATGGCCTTTTTACCGAAATTGCCCAGAATCTCATCAGATCTTGGAAGCTAAGCAGGCTTGGAGCCATCATAGTGCTCAGGAGGGTAACCACCATGCATAACAGGTGATATAGGCTGCGGAACTACGTTGCGGGCAGCAGAGTGCAGTGCAGCCAAATCAATTGCTGCACTGTACTTATATCCCCCCTCCCCCTCCGTGCCGTCAACCTAATTTGCAGTCCAGCTGGGTTGAATATAGTCAAATAATACGGCACAATTGGCGTGGGGAGGCCCTCATCCAGCAGTGGATTGACATCAAGGGCTGTGCATGTGCGCGATTCTTTTGTAAGATGACAAGGGACGCAAGCCGAAGAGTCAATACTTCATACGGAGAATAACAATGAACGGATTAATTGCATCAATAAAATGACCCACGTGTTTCACAGGTGCTCACGCAAATTGGCGCAGTCAGCTCCTTGCACAGACATCAACGCAATAACTAAAATGAAGTGCTTTGTGTGGTTGTTGAGCACAAGCACAAAGCCCAAAAATATAAAGCGGCCAGCGACGGTCAGCACTGTCAAAGTTGTAATAGGTGAGAGTCAACACGTTGCTGGAACGGAGTAAAGTTATCGTAAGCGTTTGGAAAAAATAAGTGATGGGAGAGAATGGCAAAGTGTGGTGGTTGCACTGCGTTGACGATCCGAAACTGTCAGTGTGGGAGACCCGAGTCCTCGACATGGATGGGGGGTGGGGGGAAATTAACGAGCGAAGTTCAGGGGTAAGGGTAAATTGCCATGGTAGTAGCGATAGAAGAGTGCCGAGGAGGTGAATGACCGCCGGTGAGCGAGTGACTGGAGTGAATCAGTACGTGCTGCACCATCAATTAGCCTGACAGCTTCACGTCGAGTTCTGTCCGGTGCAGTGTGGTAGGTACCGGGTGGCCCACTCCAGATATGATGACTTTATCTCGCGCTTAAGGATTGTTTTGGAGTTAGAGAGACTTTGGCAGGGCAAAGAAACCCAGGCGTCTTCAATGCCTCCTTCAGCCAGGTGAGCAGTTACACCGCAGTCTTGCGTGGGAGTCGGAGTGCAGCGGTTCAAAGTGTTCGCACTGCGCTATGAATCTTGAGAGCTGAGTTTGATTCCCGGCCATGGCTAACGTCATTGCCAAGTGGCACGTGAAATGGTTTCTGACCCCCTCCACCCACCCATCGCCCTCGCTAACCAGCACTGGCCAAACGAACCCCATGGTCGTGTCTGGAGGCCTTCATCCGGCAGTGAATTTATCAAGAGGTGTAAATAATTACGATGTTTTAAGTATTGCATTGTATGTATTATGTAGCGCCTTGTAACCAGCATTCATGGGCAAAAGTACAATTCTTGAACCTTGCGTGTCATTGGACCGTAGTGTATTACAGGAAAACGTGATGCAGAAAATAAACATTTCAAATACAAATGAAGCAAGCTTGCAAGCCAGGCCATTAATTACACCTCTATTTTGTTACTACACCGTGTGTTGTGACATCACCTTTAATCTATTTAAGATCGAAACAGGAAGACTTCATCACGATTTTGGCATTGGCTGATGAAGCTGGTTGTAATCACCAGCGAAACGTCGTTATCAAAATTGTAAACGTTGTGAGTTTTACTCTCCCAACACCACGGTGTGCTGAATTAGTAACGAATTGGCACGTTCTGTTCACGTGACAAACCTTACTGATTGTCTGTCGGGTGGTGGCGGGTTAAACGACACATTTATATTTATACGATCTAACCCCCCCAAAAAAATTCTTACGTGGTGTATGTTAGCTTACACACCCGCGGGCGACATCTACAGTGCCTGGTTAGCCTTGCTTAACAACACAAAGCAACGGGGGAATTATAATGAAACGCGACTGAAACAACATTCTCGCTGTGTTATAGAATCTGTGGCCCTCCACGTGAATATTTTATATCGCATCAAAATGTGCCACTGCGCTGGTTATTTGATATAATGATTTCGGATGCTCTGTGGGAGGGTGACGATGAGAGGGAGACCGCCGTGCAGTTCCATTCCGTCCTGGGCTCTCGGTTGTTACTCAACGAATACAGCAGCCATGGAGTTGGAAACAAACCTCCAGCCCATTCCAACGGCGCCATTCGGAATCGGGTAAAGTATTTGTCCATTATTAAGGATGTTGGGTTAGTTCGCGTGTAAATGTGTGTGTGTGGGTTAGATCGCGTGTAAATGTGTGTGTGTGGGTTAGATCGCGTGTAAATGTGTGTGTGGGTTAGATCGCATAAACTTAAATGTGTCGTAA